TACTTAAACTTGTCAACAATAGTAGAGAATTTGCTGTCTAATATTCGCAATATTTTAGATATTTTTCATATCGCTAGCTACGACACTGTCCTACCCCGAAAACGTAATTGCGCCAAGCAATTTCCATACATAGCCTCAAAATTTTTACATATTCTCGCAAATGTACAATTTGTCTAAATATTTCCCAAAATTCTCAAGCTTAATATTTTCTTTACGACCATACTCAAACTCGCCAACAACAGTAGTGAATTTGCTATCTAATATTCGCAATATTTTAGATATTTTTCGTATCTCTAGCTACGACACTGTCCTACCCCGAAAACGTAATTACGCCAAGCAATTTCCATACATAACCTCAAATTTTTATATATTCTCACAAATTCGAAATTTATCTAAATATTTCCCAAAATTCTCAAGCTTAATATTTTCTTTACGACCATACTCAAATTCGCCAACAACAATAGTGAATTTGCTGTCTAATATTCGCAGTATTTTAAATATTTTTCATATCTCTATTTACGGCACAGTAGTACCCCGAAAACGTAATTACGCCAAGCAATTTCCTTACATAACCTCAAAATTTGTATACATTTTCCCGACTGTGCAATTTGCCTAAATATTTCCCGAAATTCTCGTGCAAATTTATCACGAATGACGTTCCGGGGTTCCCGCTTCTATCCTTATATCATCGATGCTCTACTTTCCACAACCTTGGGTTTCCTGGTTTATCCATACACGCTCCGAAACGAAGTACAAGAACGCGTTAGCAAAAGAAACAATTAAGTCCGTGGAAGAACCACCCTCGAACCCACCATTGGTCTGTTCCGCTTTTCAAGGATTGGCAGATCATCCCATTGGATTATCCACGGCGCCGGCGCCTGCACGCTTCGCGCTCTGCGCATCGACTCTGCACGTACGCACGCACACATACGCGCGCCCACGCGAGCGGCGCGCACACGTCGGCGAGTTCGACGATTAAACAGGTATTTCCCGCGGCGCACAGGTGTTCGCGTATACCTATACAGGCGGGAAAGTACGGTACTCGTCCACACGCGATGCGGAAACACAGTAAAACGAAAATTACCGGCCGACCACCTGGCACACGTGCCGTCACATTTTCACGTGCACGGGAAGCCCCCGGTACGCCGTGCGGGACGGGCCTCGGGGTCTCGCGAGACACCCCTGCGGTCATGGCGTCGCGTGCGAATCACGCGTGAAATTTTTCTTCTTCCACGTTAGAGCTTTATATAACGTGGATCTAAATAAATTCTTAATTCGATTATTCGAATTAACGATGGAAAAATCGGTTTTAAGAGGCAAATTTTGAATCATGTCGTGAGTCAAGTGGGAATTAAACAAATTTTTTTTACCACTGAAATGTAGCGTAAATATGTATCTAGTGTTTTATTAGTCTTCGAATCCAGATATATTACGTGAAAATTCTCCAATTTTTCAGTTTAAATGTGTATACACAGGATGAAAAATATATTCGAGAGGCAGGTGATTTGCATAAAAAAATACAGAATTTTGTTTTATAAAGCTTAGTTATAGTTACTTATAAAGCTTTTTTTTATAAAGCTTAGTTTAGCTTTTTTTTATAAAGCGTAGTTTCAAATTGAATTTGAAAATTCATTTTGTACAATACACTGTGTACAATAGGAATAACAGTTTTAAGAATTTTGGAATTGAAATAATAAAATATCCTTGATAAAATAAGTGACTAGAAATTGAAGCTTGTTTTTTAAATAAATCCAATTGCTCTTTCATTTTAGCGATAGAGTGCAGTTTTTTGTAAAATAATTTTATCGAAACATTTAAAATTGGAAAAGATTCTTAAACTTCAGAAGTACCTAATTACGTGCATTTTTGGATCAACAGGAGAACCCACTGCACTCGAAATTCTTTTCCAAATTTCTTTCTAATGACTCTCTATTATATTAGGATTTTTATTTTAAATTAAAATAGAAAATGGTAGGTAGATGGGAATTTCGTTTTCTAGTTATTTTTATGATATATGTAAAAATGCGAGGAAATGTCGAGTCAAGGATTTAGAGGTTAGGTTACCTTGATCAATTTAAACAAATTTTGTTTTTTAGTTATTTTCCTGATATATTTAAACACATGAGGAAATTAACGTCGTTTTCTAGTTATTCTTATGATATATTTAAAAATGTGAGGAAATGTCGAGTCAAGGATTTAGAGGTTAGGTTACCTTGATCAATTTAAACAAATTTTGTTTTTTAGTTATTTTCGTGATATATTTAAAAACATGAGGAAATTAACGTCGAGTCATAGTCGATAAAGGAGTTAAAGGATTTAGAGGTTAGGTTATTTTGCCCACCTCTGAAAGTAGGTAATGTTCGAGAATTTTTTCATGAGCAAACACTGAAAACAATTTCCAGTATATTTATTCTAAATCAACACATCTCTTAGGTTTATTATTGAATTGTTTCACTATAAAACATCATAAAATGGCGAAGATATTCGCTATTTCCAGAACCCTTGCTTTCCAAATGGCTGCAATTGTCGGCTAGAACCGAAGCGTCTAAAATGAACAATTTCGTTTCTTTTATATTATTTTCATATAATTTATGTAATTTACACAATTTTTTAATTTTTCCAAACAAAATTTTTGACATTTTCTAAAACAACATGTATAGCTTAACAATTCGTTATAACTTAATAAACATATATAACTTTGATAATCATTGGTACAGGTACGAGGCATGGGGTGGGGGGGGGGATAGGTATTTTATTTTAGATGTAGCTCAAGACATAGTTGGTTAATAGGATACAATTTAAATTTGTTTTCGTTATCAATTACATTTACAATAGCAGTGGAACTTTACACCGATGTGATATTTCTGAGATTTCTAGTTACTTGAGAATGACATCGGAGTCGAGTCATACTCGACAAAGGAATCCAAACAATTTAAGAATAGTATTTGCGTATACATTCTGAATAAGGACATACAAGTGTACTTATTGAAGAAAATAAAATTAACAAATAAAACGTAATAGAGGAACAATAGATCAATAAATATGTAATCGGTACGATGTATAAAACGATTAAACAATCAAAGAATTGTCATGAATTTAATTTATATTTAAATTTCGTGCAAAATTTTTATATCAAAATTATTATTTTAATTATTATTTAATAAGAAACTTTTAATAACCTAAAAAGTTCGTAATATAAAGAGTAAATTAGCATAAATAAAAAATCCTCTTATAGTATTAAAAATTATTTTTATAATATTTCAGTCCAAAATAATAATCAAAATTCCCGAAAATTGGAATTTTTGGAGGTACGTTTAATATTTCGTATTATACGAATATCTCTGCATTCTCGGATCGTGCTATATGAAAACTCTATACATAAAACATATACTATAGGAAAGTCACCAAAACAAAATGGACGTAATTAGTTTGCCTCTTATAGTCCCTTTATTTTCTTAAACTCGAGGCTTATTACCGTGTACACAATTTCTTCATAAACATAATCCCCATATAGTATTTGGAATATAATGTGCAAACCACAAGTAGTTTCTCCAAACCGTATACAAATGTCTACAAATTTTCGTACTTTATAACCTCAAAACCCTATACCTGTACCCGAAAATATTTTCCATATACCATAACCTTGTATCTCGAAAAGAAGTATAATTACAAAGTCGCATCGAATGATCGATCACGTTGTTCTAGAAATCTTTGCACTCGCAATCAGAAGTATATACTTCGCGAGAAGTTCAAGTTATGCTGATCTTCGATTACGGGTATTCTCGTTTCTTTCTCATTTTGAGGTTAGGTAAGGTATTTCAGTGGTTCCAGCGGATTTCTGCAACCCTCGTGTCACAACCCATAACGACCGTCGTGTGCACTCGGATATGCAAGTCCTTGAAAGCGTGCGCTCACGAATTAGAAGGGACTATTAAGTAACTTTGTCCACGCGTCGGCCCTCGCGTTACCTTGCGCAGCCAGGAGATCCTAATCGCGGTGCACAGCCACTTTACGTCGGAAATCGAGGGTGGTCACTTAGATACGTCACGAAAGGACAATGCAGACCTTTCCGTGACTATGAAACGACTTTTTTGTTTCTTTCTCTCTCTCTCTCTCTCTCTCTCTCTCTCTCTCTCTCTCTCTCTTTTCTCTCTCTCTCTCTCTATCTCTCTATTCATCCATCCGTGTATCTATATCCTCTCCCCTCCACTATTCTTCGAGTCTTCTGCTTGTGCTTTCGTGAACAATGGCACAAATGCACGAAAATTTCCGGAGAAGATTAGCAGTGCTGAAATTTCATGAGAACGAATCTTGATTTCTTTTTATTTTAGACTATTAATTTTCTATAAATATTTCCTGTTTTCGACTGTTTAACAGTCTTCCATTTCTTGATTGTTGAAAGGGTTTAGTTGAATCATTTTCTAAATTTAAAAATATACGTTAAGTACATTACTTTAACTTATTAACAATTAGTGTTAATGTTTATTTATCAAATTTTGCAGTTTTGAGTAATTGGAAGGTAACAGTAGAATATTTTTCTGAACTTGAAAATTCTCTGGTTAAAATTATCAATTCTTTGTTATAAATATTCATTGTTTTTGTTAATTTAGTTCAAAAGAAATATTGGAATGATTTGTGGAATCAATTTAAATATATTAAGTATATTATTATAATAAAATTAACAGTAGATATTTTTTTCCCTTTTGTTTTGAATTATTAATTTATTACAAACATACTATTTTTAATTGTTTGATTATTCTTCCATTTCTTGAGGATTTATTTTTATGTATGGTATTATACCAAACGTTAAAATCACTTTTTTAAAGAATTTCTTATGGTTTTTATTTTAATATATTGTATACATATTAATTATTCATGATCATCATTCATTAATTAATTCTATTGTAATTATTTAACAGCTGCTAAAGCATACAGTACATTACAAAATTATTAATATTCTAATGTTCAAATGAATTTTAAAGTTGAACACAAAATTTCAAAAAATTGATCATATGGTTGAAAGAATACGTTATATTTGGATTTATTAGCTCTATTAATAATTCCTTATCATTACTACGAATTTATCTGTACCTATTTTTATCTGTTCGAAGTGGAACGAAAGCGACATATTTTTTGTAATTGCCAGTACGTGACGGTCACACGTAATCCCGGGAGAAATTGTGTGACATGTTTTTTTCGTTACAAGCATATCCACGGGTTACATCGATCGTATGAGAACTTGTACGCAAGCCCCGACGCGATGTGTCGCCGACAATTTCTCATCGCGAAAATTATGCTGACCATTAAAACAACCGCCTGGTTTATGCACGAAGGTCCCAAGGACGAAGGTACTGGGCGATCAATGTTATTGCTTGGAAATTACTCTGTCACAGTTACGTCGAATTCGCTGCCAACAATTAGTTGCTTCGTTGATTGTCGTGTTATCACGTCCAGTGGAAGCCTGGAATTCACGATTGCCTTTTAATCAGATACATATACGATACTCGTGTACCGCGTCACATAGAAATTCGTAAGATTTTACCTCGTCGGCAATTAACCGAGTGATGGTAACTCGTATCGATGCGCATTGTTGCATTCGAAATACGAGACATTCGATTTTTATCTTCTAAAAGCTTCGTTAAAATTCCACAGCTATCGATAAATCGATTTAGATTTCATTTTAGACACTTTTAATTACATCGGATACCTTTCGAGTATTCTCTCGTAACGTCTAACCTCATTTGGAGCGATCGGGTCACATTTATAATTCAATTCAGGAACCTACTTGTGAGGAAGAATCTTCGTGGTTTTAACACGATGCTCTGTTTCTGTTCGTATCGTATTCGTTGTTTCGTGACGATTGCATCGTAGTAAACATAACCTAAAATCAATTTGATTTAATACATATGAATCGCAGCGAAAGATCTGAACATAACCTTCGATATATTCTGTCATACAAATACGTATCTGTCATATTCATACCGGAGATACGAATAACAATCTACGTTAATAAACTGTCTCATCACTGCTTTCGAACGTTTTCACGGTTAACTAGCTTTCTTGTGCACGCTTGTCAATGGTACAAAGTGTAATAGGAATTAGAAGGTACGGACGACCACGGAGATACGCAGCTCGCTGCTACAGGGATATATAGAGAGGCAGAGAAGTGGGGATGAAATAAAAACACGCAGAGTAGAAAAAGTGGGGTTGAGGACACGCGAGCCATCCATAATGCACAGACCGCGGCGAAGATGCGTCAGCAAGATAAATTCTATAGAAAATGGAGGAATAAAAAAAAGATCATACAAGAGTAGATGAGATGATTTCGTGAATTTATTTAGTTGTCCAAGGTCTGGACTCGCACTATGCAGATGTTCAATATCGCAATTTCGATTACGTAACTCTTTAATATCCATGATCAAGGTTAATATATAGGAATGAAAATTTATTAATGGCGCGACTTTTAAAAATTGCTTCAAAGGTTAACTCAAAGTGCTATTTTAATTTGCAGGCTCGTTGAGGCATCTGTGAGATGTGGAAGGTAAAGAATAAAATAAAATCGAACGAGTTATTATATAAACAAGAAAATTCCATAAAATTAAAAAAAATTATCAAATGTATTAATGTCGTTTCTTTTTAATTCTGTTCCACGCAAATGATCAGATCGTACTGTTGTTGCGGTATTTATTATAACGGATTTTAAAGCAGTTTTAAAGAATAACAGGTATTTCCACGACTTGTATTAATAATAAGCATCGTAAATGCCGTTTAGATAATATGGATGTTAAAACGAAGATTATTATTTAGAAAATTCTTATTTACAAATCGGATTATTTCGTCGCCATTTGGGACCAGACAGAAATATTCGGGCATGGAAATAAACGTGATTCTAAATATCCTATTAATTTCCGTAAACTTGGCGTGGAGTTCTCGCCGGGGGAAATTGTCAGAAGCGAGAAATTGGCTGCAAGTACCCCGAGAAAGCATCTGGTGGCCATCTGGTAACAAGCCAAGTGTAATATTTTTACGACGATCGCCGATATACTAATCTTTCAGGCGATCAGTTTGACAAAAAAGTATAGCAGGTGACGTTCCTTTGCGTATCCCACACGACAGTAACGAAGTATCGTTAAACCTAGACTCGATCTCGTGGCATTTATTTCAACGTTTCGGTTAATAGATTGACAACCATTGTTTCCATCTTTCGACAAACAAAAAATTTTATCGTTTTCATTTAAGTATGTCTCTCGATATTTTTATCTTAGGTTTTACTAATTTTTCGATTCTATGAAGATTTCATCAACTATAATTGTACTTGCTGTCCGCCCAGAGGAAAGATTGTGAGGTTATGTTAAGTTGCAATTTCTGACAGTGTTGTTTGGGTTTAATCTCGTTCCTTCGTTTGGACAGTTGCTGTGATGAATGAGTTAAAGATAGTAATTAAATAATTCAGTAAATATATACAGTTTGAGTCATAAATAAAACAAAATTGACCTCATTCGATAAATATTAGAATAAAAATTTGGTTATACCTGGGTTATAAATTCCTTTGTAACCAGTATCATTTTTAAAAATTTGTTGGTAAATGGGTATCAGAGATTTTAGTGTTTGGTTAAATTTGATCTTTTTCTTCTATTTCAATTGGTTTGCTTTTGTAATTTTCTTTTCTGCAAATGTTGATATTTCATCTTTTAAAAATATCATTGATAGTCTAAAACTAACCTCATTCGATTATGTATCGTTTTACTTTACATTGTTAGTTACAAATTTTACATCAATTTTGAAATGTTGTCCATGAACATCTGTCTACAAATTTATTATTAATCTAAAATATAATAACATTCGTTTCTTCATTTTCATAATTTTTTTTTTTTTGGCGAAAAACTGAAAATTTGATATCGAACGCCGAGTTATAGCAGTAACCCAATTTTGGTACAGAAATTGAGATGGTGGACAGGAAATACGTGTGTCAAGATACTTCCTAACGTTCCTTAATTTATGTGTTGGTGTGCACTAATTCGACGAAGCGAACTATCGTTCGAAGCCACAGGACAACATATTGATTTCTTTCGTGGACTGGACACTAGCTATTATCGATCCGTTAAAAAGTTCAGGGCTGTCTCCTGTGTCTGTATGTCCTTTAAAAACGCGATTTACGAGCTTCGTATTTGTCGTAAAAATTATTCCAAGATACCTGAAACAGTTACCAAGAGATTAGTCGCAATTATCCAATGTATAATAACATCGATATAAAAACATCGTTCGTAACAACCGCGTACAAACATCATTTAAAAAAAAATATATATATATATAATTTTATTACTAATGTAGTAAAAAAATTTTCACTTGAATCGCAAGTTTCACGTGGTATATTTTAACATTTAATCGTTAATTACAGCTGAAAGTAACGAATTAATATCGATACCGGTCGTTAGTTTCGCATAGTCGAGGTATCAATTATGGCAGAGTATTTGGAGGAAGATAATTGAGCTGAAAGGGTCGTTGGTCGAAAGAAAATGATCGCGTCACGATAAATTGGAGAACGCGCGAAGGAGAATCGAGAGTCGGGGCGGCGAGATGTTTTTACACGCGATCGTTTTGCGTTGAAGAAGAAAAAGAGAGAGAAGAGACAGAGACAGAGGCACTGCCGTGGAACGTATCACTTTTCTTTTTCTTTCTTACGCCTGTGAATTTTAGGTATACTAACGTTGGTGTTAGGTAATCGTGTGCCGTGTATCGAGAAGTATCTTTACATTCGTGAAATGACCTACACACACACATACACACACGTTTGTCGTTGGTTTGGTTGTTGTTTTGCCGACACGTTGAGGATTTTTTTTTTCTTTTATTGGATTTGTTGCGCATTTTTTTGTCACGCCTTAGTGATACCACACTGTTACCATTTTCATAACGCGTCGCTTTCCGTCCACCTGCCCCCCTCCCCTCCCCTCCCCACTCCCCCTCCCTCTCCCCGTCCTCTATTCACGCATCGAATAATTTCTACACGAACACGATATACATTTACATGCACATATGTACGCGTCTTTTATCGAGCAATACATCGTGGCACACGTAAAAGCAACGTTCGATTGACGGTACGAAACGTGGATAAATACTCGGATTCGTTTTATCGAATGGTACATCGAACGTTACAGTTTCGAATAACACGGAATTGATTACTGATTCAGTGACACGTGCTGCGGCGAGAGAGACGAATGACCGTCGTGTATTTCTCATGATGGAAATCGGATCGAAGAACGTTTGTTTCGTCGTTGCGTTTTCGACAGTTTCCTAGCGCAGCTGTTACCCCGGGAGCCGTGGGATACGAATACCAACGCGTCGCTTCGTAATGTCAAGTCCGAGTCCATTAGCGATCGCCGCGTTATCTATCCGCGAAAGTTGGTACTAAACGCTTTTCCAATAAGCCGTTTATCTTAATAGCCGGACGGGTGGGGTGCGAGGTTGTGTTCCGTGCTTTACTTAGCTGCACGCAGAGCGTCGCTTGCGTGGAACATTCACTGTACACATAGCTCTACACGCGTAAAAATCCAACTGCCCTCCTTTCACTCTTTCAAAATGTACTGTTGAAGCTTCCGGTGTTCATCGAGTTCCGTTCGTTAAAAATGAGATTAAGAAAAATAATTTAGAATCGAGACACTCGATGGACCACCGGTCGTTTCGAACAGCAAGTGTGATTACGTAGGTTTAAGTGATCCTGGTGGACTGGAAGATAATTGTACAAATCTAACCTATAAGGTATTCGAAATTGTTAACAATTGATTTGATAGTTGCCAATGTAAAAGTTTAAATATAACTTTCGAAAGGTGGATATTATTCGGTAAATGTAATTTATAAACGAAATCACGAATAATATCAATTTATTATGGATAATTTAACGTTATAGTATACATTTTTTAGTCCACCACGATTAACCAACGAGTATTCTTCGTATTAGATGTATGAGTGTCGTTGCGTGATCGTTAATCGCGGAACTGTCTAACCGTTGGATGATTTTGGTTTCAGGGTGCCACCGGGTTACGTGTACCAGTCGCCTTACCTGGCGGCTGCGGCGCCAGGTGGCTTGGTACCCCTTCCGGCCACGCAGTTGACCCATGCAGCGGCGATGGCAGCAGCGTCTCAATTTTATGAGTACCAAAACGTCGCGGCAGCGGCCGCCACGTATCCGGGGACATCGTACAATTTCGCCGAGGCGTATCCCTATACCAGCGCCGCCGCGGCTGGTATGTGTTTGAAAAGTGTCCAGAGCAAGGACAGCAACGGGCTGATACACCACCACCAGCAGCACAACGGTAGCAGCCCTGCGGTGCTGGCACACCAACGATTGGAGAAAGCTCTCCTGCCGCCCTTTCTGCCGTCCGTGCTACGTAGCAACGGTAGAACATTATTAGAAAACCAAACGCACTGAAAGAGAGGGAATGCAAGCGGTAGAGCGAACGAGCGCGTATGCGAGAGTGAGAGAGGAAACAAGAGGACGGGGATAATGTCGTCCTTCTTTTTCGTTGCGGAGTAGTTGAGCTCCCACGAGGAATCTCTGCAAGATTCCCACGAATTTTTTAATCAACGTTTACTCGTAATTCAAACGTGTTCCTGGCTGGAATAATTTTCTTTTTAACGCTCAATATTTTAATTACAGATTAATTTCGTTCACTTTGCTAATTATTTATTAATATTCGAGTTTTGCATATCTATTTAAAAATTCTTTTCTCTTTTTGATATAGTATGATATAATTTTTCAACGCATGTGCGTACTATAGTTTTCGGTATTTTTGATGTTATTAGTAGGAGATTGCATGTTTCGTGGAAAACTAGAATACATATGATCGAGTTTGCGTAACAAGGTAGTTTAGTGAAGATTAACAACACTGAAGGAACTGCACGTGTCGATATTTTTGTCACATTTTCTTCACCCCGATAAGATTAGCGTTTTCAAAATGCTTTTGAAATATTTCGTTTATTGCAACTCTTTTTCTTTTTTCCTTTTTTTTTACTGAGAACGAACCGTAACACGAATCTTAAAAGGAATTGATGTAAAAATACAGAAATTGATTCTTTTTTCTTTTTGAGGTTAGGAAACGACGTTTACGTAGTGGGAATCTTGCTGAGAATATTTTCCATTCATTCCACTTGCTGCTTCTTCACATTAGTGTATTTTTTGTAGAGTTTGTGTTTCACTTTGTGCTGTTTATGGAAAAATCTTTTTCGAGATTGAATTAATAGAATTAATAGCATTTATCAGGAGAACTTTCTGCAGTCTTTCTTTCCGGAATTTTCTGTCGAGTGTTGGTTTTGTACTGTTTAAGATCGATCAACAATTACTTTTATGTTATTCGTACGTTCTCAGGTATACGATGACACGAGAAAATGCTTGTGTAGAAGTTTAATTTGCGCTGGAATGTTCCGCTGTCGGTATAACAGAAATTAGATAAGAAAACGTTGGAAATGCAACATTGCATGCTTATGCTGGCTTCGCATTCAACACGATCGACATGCAAATTTTGTTAATGCTCTGATGTGCTGTCTACGGTGGTGGTGGGAAAAATGTCAAGGTGGATGACAGTAGTCAGTAAGCTTTTATATTATGCAATGATATAGTGACTTGGCAAGGTACCTGAAATTAATTTTGGTAAATGTAAAACTTAGTTGACAAGCGGTGTAAATTACAAAAATTGTCAAAATTTGTCTACTATGATGACATAGTAGACTCGAGGAAGTGGTGCAGGTAATTCTGTCATAATTTTGAAAATTAATCGTCCCTAACGTATGTCACACTTACTTCTAGGGAAATTAAATCAGTATCGTTGAAGTATCTCAATTTCCTTATCCGTAAATTACCGTGTTCGAGTAATAATTTTAATTAAGAAATAGTAAAAGTGAAAAGTATATAACAGTATTGAAGAAAGTATAAATATACAGTATAATAAGATATAAAAGTATAGGAAATTAATATACAGAAATTAATGAATCGGTTGAAAAATTAATATAACAATATAAAAAAGATATAAAAGTATAAAAAAATATAAAATATAAAAGTATAGAAAACTGTTAAAAATAGTATTTTAAGAAAAGTATAAAGATATAGAAAAAAAAAAAAATATATAAAAAGAAAATAAAAAATAGAAAAATAGGAAAAGGAAAGTATAAAGGTACAGAAAAAATACATAAAAATATAAATAAAAAATAAAAAATATATTTTTAAAATATACCGTTTAAAAAAAAGAAGAAAAAGGAAAATAAATGCCTGTAAAATGCTTGAAAATATATGTATATTTGTACATATTGCATTCGCACCGTGTTCGTAATCGGTATTATTCTTCGGAAGGATTACCTGCACTAAGATGGGCGAAATATACAGGAGCTTAGAAAGCGGTTTACTTCTTTTTACAGCGAATGCAGCAGCAGCAAGTTACGTGACACCGTATGCGTATGCAACGCTACCAGGTGCAGCAGCAGGATTACCGGCAGCAGCGGCTGCAGCTGCAACAGCAGCGGGTGCTGCCTTCCCAGGACTACCATATCAAACGACGCCTCAGGAAGCAAGATTGCAATAGAAGTTGGATGAATTGCCGCAAGGGGGATCGGTACCGTCGCCGATTGTTCCGGCGGCATTAAATTCGCAACACAAAACTTGATCCTCGCCGCCGTATAAACGTTTAGTCTTCGTCTGTCTTTGCGTCGATCCACCTCTTTTCCTTATTCGAGGGTCAGGCATTATTCGATGCGACTGCACACCGCACGGAGAAGCCATTGTTTCAGCCATTCGGAGCCCTGGCTCCGCGTTCTCACGAGCTAATTTTGGAAACGACGCACGGCGAGAGACAGAAAACGAGGAAGCTTCGTGGATGCGACCTACGTCACTCAGGATCGACGGCTCGCAGTTTCTTACTAACCTAACCTCTAATCTTCCCCACCTTAATCTTCCTTTCCACGTTCTCCTTTATAGGGCCAAACTTGGCACGCTCGGCCAATGTACTTTCGAGATACAAGACGATACGTAATGTCGTTAGCGTTATGATTATTTATAACTAATGGAGCACGATGGGCAATAGAGGCTTTCAATAGACGCGCGGACAATTTAGTAAACGTCGGATTCTTTGTACATTTAAGCGTCGATCGCACGATGAAAATGCTATCAAGATTAAAGGGAATTACTCGCTGTTAAATGAAATTGAAAGACTGATCCGTATTCAGAATTGATATTGTTCGAGACGTGTAGTCTTATGAGATTATAATTGTTGATTCAATTGGCGGCTAGTTTTGCGAAACGAAGAGATTTTTCTTCCAGTATCGACGAATCATTTTGTAATGGTCTTTGTACATCGTTATTGTAATTGCAATTTTTCTTTCTTTTTTCTCTCTCTTTTTCTCTCTATTTTTGTAGCGATTAGCTAGAAAGGAAGATGCGTTAAAATATAATTTTGATGCTTTTACAGATATCATTACTGAATATTGGTCGTAGACCAATCAATACTACGAACATTTTAAATCTAAGCGTGTAGTCTAGCCTATATAGACTGAATTTGAGAAATACGTACGTTTTTCACATTACGTGTAAACGATACTGCAAGATTCACGAATCAAGTTTCCACGAAGCTCTAAAATAACTTATAGGTTATGACATAGAAGGAATAGAAATACTTTTTAAATCTACTCGTTTCGATATTAAAATAACGAACTAGTGTATTATGGACTGTTGTGTACATAAAAGAAGTGTTCCTAAATAAGTGAAACATTTTCGAATTGTAATAATTTTATAGCAATTGCAACGAATGCAATTGGTTTAAAAACAAATTTCTGCCTTAAATTATTGTCATAGGTATGATGTTAATTTGAAAGGAAAGTTAGTGAAAGAAATGTGAAACAAAATTGTGTCGACAAAAGGATTTTAGCAAAACGTTTTTATTTCATTAGAATTATCTATAATTGGCTGTAGAGAATTTCCAAAAAATTTGTCTCTAATAGGAATTGTAGATTCATCCGAGTAAAACATATCTAGGGATTATAAATAACGTTTATTTACGTTAAACCGATGTTGCCTTAGAATCGTGATGCCTTGGATCAGCAAAGTCACCAAGTGTCTTAAGAATGATGTCTTTGCGTGATTTCTAGATATTATGTAAATGAACAGTGAGGATCAACGGACGAACGAATCGACGTTGCTGATTATCGAATGACTGATAATCAAAAAATTATAACAGGGACCTAATATCAATGTTTAAGAAGATAATGTAAAAGCACCAAAATTCTGTCAATCGGCGAGAACTGTAGCTGTTTCTTAATATGTGTATAAATACCGTTAGACCTTGTAAATAAGAATGGTAGATGTACTATTGAATTTTTAGCACTACTTCTTTCATACATTCGATGATGTATTTATTAAAGCGTAGCAAGTAGGATTCCATGAACTACGATTTTAAACTTCAACAAATCACAATTGTACAAGGTTTATAACCTAGAAAAGCATCAATACTGAAGCATTGTTGCTACACATTGTTACAGTGTATTCTAAATACGGATCAATTTGTCTAATTGTCAATGATTCAGTGTCAATGAGCACTACATATGTCGTTAATGGTCTAAGGAGGAATTGCGTGATGCAAAGAATTCGTTCGTCCAATATTAAAGTGATCAGGTGCCTTAATTAGCACGACCGAATAATTTTAACGGTTAGAAACTAGTCAGTGATTCGTTAGCGCGAGGCTGTTCGCTAACGCGTGTACAGGGGTGAAGCTAAAAGGAGACGAAATGACGAGACATAAACTGAAAAAGAGATAACTAGCAAGCGAGAAGGGAGACGGAGGATCAGGCTATGAAGAATGAGGCTGTCTAGTCCTAAACCCTTCGAGACCTTAGATGAGGTTAACTCGGTTCGTTAGAATTTTAAGTAGACGTTAATATGAACGAGGAAACGGAGAAGGAAACCAAAAGTCTTGTAAAAAGTTAGCAAACAATGCTGTTAGGAAGGCTTAGCGTTAAGTATTAATTATTATATAATCGTTCGATTAAGATAATAGGAAAATAAATTAATACCATTGGATACATTTTATTATTATTATTATTATTATTATTATTATTTTATTATTATTTTATTATATTATTACTATTATTAATTGATAATTATTATTACTATTAATTATTGGTAATATTATTGTCATTATCGATTATCCATTATTGTTCATGTACTTAATGGCGAAGCGAAGAGGTCACGTGATCGGTCGAATTTATTGCGAAGCGGAATATCTTTTGTCACGATAAATGGAAAAGCGAACATTTAGGGTTATACCGTGAAGAATGCGTTTTGTCGTCACGGGTATCATGATCCTTTCCGAATATCCTATACTCTTATGATTAACGGTTGTAATATATCGTCTGTTATCTTTAATAATATTAATATTATACACCTTATTGATAGGTTAACGAAACGGAACGAAAGTGAATATATTGTCTCTAAGAGAAACAAAAAGCGAATGCGTCTTGGTCTTATGATAGATCGCGACTCTTGTTGTCTGTTGCTTTCGCACGTCATCTGAACTCCTCTTTGCAAGAGACGAAACACGAACATTGATTACCGAAAAATTGGAGAAAAAAAAAGGAATAAAATCTTAATTTTCAGAATGTCACGTGTCATTCTATCGTATAACCTCTTTTCTAGATTTACCTTATCGTCGTGTTTTACATGTATACATCGTTTGTTTCAGTGTCACCGACGAGGAACCTGTAAACAATTTATTCCTTGATTGCATATATGGTTTGACAGCAGTGTTTTAAGGAAAATTTACCTTCTTCTGCTGCAAGCGGGACGAGTGACTCGGTCGTCCCAATGGAACTCGATCTTGTCGTTTTTCGTGGCTAAAGATAATCTTAATGGCCTTGTGGAATTGGACGTCGAGCGTCGCGGCGGGCCGCAAAAACGAGCAAAGGGGAAACCGCCCTCCACGTCTAAGTCAGGCCCGCAACGACCGAGCAAAAATAACCGGCTGTGTCTTTTGGCAAAATAACTCTACGATTTGGCTCCCTTCGCGAATTTTCATAAATTTCGTTCTCTTTGATGCCGTGTTTTATAACAAGAATTTTCCTTAATTAGAATGTCACGGGCTGCGGCGATGTTGATGGTGTGCTTCAGAGGCATGGTGAGGGCACTAGAGACATTCTTCAAGGCCAAAGGAAAAGCTGGAATAAATTAAATAATGGAATTAAATGTCATCCTCAAATTTTATTTAATTTTATTTTTATTTCTTTTATTCTACTTACTTCTTTTCACTGTTTCATTTGAGACATAAATTTTCTTTTTAAAAAGTCTTGAATTAAATATTTTTAAATGTAATTTTAAGTCTCTTTTTTTGTTGAAAGTATAGAAGTTCGACTTCGACGAAATTTTTGATTTTTGAGTTTTTGTTTTAAGCTTGTTTTATTCATTTTGAAATTGTAATACGGTGTTTTGGGAATTTTTGTATCTTTATATTTCACAAATCTGATTTTTCCTTTATAATGCAAATTATGTATTATAAAATTCCTTACTTTTACTTCTTTCTGAAATTTAAATACATAATATCGATTACATTAAATACATAATATAGATTAATTATATTATATATCATATATCATTTAATATTACATTTTAACATGGTACATAATATTTGAAATAATTTATTTAAATATTCTCTTAATTAAACTATTAGACATTCAATTTTGAGATTCAACAATAGTTAATGTTTATTTATATTATTAAAAACAGCCATGATTATTCAATTATTATAAATGGAGTATGTCTGTGTTTTAAATAATTAAAATTTATAGAATTGAAATCTCAATAAAATTTTTGAAAAATTTAATTAGTTTAATTTTTTATTTCGTTTATATTTTTCTAGAAATATTTATTTTGGTTTACAATAAAATTTTTTGTTTCGTACATTCCTTTTTATTTATACGATTTTTCATGTCGCATCTTCAAATACGTTTAATTTGTCTTTTATAAGTAAAAGTAATTATTAATTGCTACACGTTAAATAAAGTTCGTAAATTTGTTTAAATTATTTTAACCTAAAAGCAGAGTAACAAAGAATACTATATTTATTTACGAAAAATGATTCGGTAGTTTTCCCGAAAGAATGATAATCATATAATATACATACTATCGTTAAATAATAATTGTCAATAAAATAAGTATAATAACATTAAATATTTATAAATTTCCTTAACTATTATCATATGCTTACCTACACACTAAATTGCAATTTGAAAACAAGGTATAAATCATCCTTAGCGTCTTTAAATGACTTATAAACACAAATAAAATAGTATTTACATGAATACGTAGTTCAAAACATTTTCCGTAAACATGTTAGTCATTTTACAAACTCCTCTTGTCATATCAATAATTAACATTCTGTCACTGACTAGAGATATTACTCGCATAAACATCGATTCCATTTTAAAAAGTAAATCACTCGAAACATTGCACATGTCAATTACGTATACACTATTGCGCATATTTCGGAATATCTGTTTGGAAAAATGGCAGATAAAGTTGTGAAGCGACGTGACGCTACAAAGCACTCGCGTACCTAGCATAGACTACAACCACTCGCGGCGCGCATTACCCTCGCGTTCGATTTATCGACCGACCGCCGTGCGCAAAAGCGATAAGATGTCAGCACTGTTGCTTCATTGATAACGCGTTCACTGAATGACGCCCCGCTTATCATTCGTTTTGATAGAGAAATAGTAGGGGAGCATTGCCATTGACACAAGAGCGAGCCTCAGTTACCCTGCGTTTATTCGCGTAAACTTGAGCGCTCATAGCGCCCAGTGATTTTTGAGTTACTCGTCAGACGAGAGAGGTCACGAGCAAGGAAAGACTCGAGGATCGCGATCCAGATAGGACTCGCGACCTGGAAGTCCTTCCTGAGTCCATGCGGAAGCACGTGGCCTAAGGTCAAGGTGAGACTAATAGAATTCTCGCGTGTCTTCGCTTCCTCCTCTTGCATACTTTGTGCTGTCCGTCGTAAGTGCTAATGTTCCCATTAGGATCGCCTGTATTCGAACAGGATTATGTTACGCATTATCAATCCATTGTATATGGTCGAGTGCTTTTATCACGGTGTATAGCGAATGATCTAAATACATCTCACGATTTCTCTTAACATGCAATTTGTCAGATATATATCGTGTCCTATAAAACTAATGGATTCTTTTGGGAAATAAATATTCTTTTGATCAGTGAATCATGGTAAGTAAGTAACAATATGTTAGTATTTCTTTTTACACGCTGTTCTGGTTACTTGTTAGGCATATTATTTTTTCATTTACTCACTCTTATTGTCAAAATTGTAAATCGTATATTATACGGTATAACCTTCAACTTTTTTTTTTAATATTATTTATTTAAATTTTTTAGAAGAATGACAGTTTTAAGTTACTTTTTATTGTATTTTTATTTAATTGTTAATTCTGGAATTATTCTTATTTTTGATTAAATTTTTTTATTTTTGTGAGTCTGCTGTAGGTAACTATTATATGATCTCGAAAGATGTTTTTCTATCGGCATTCGTTACTATTGCCATCTGTTAACCGGTTTTTGTGCATCTACAGCTTTGTCATGCACATGTGCAAAATATAAAAATGGTCGACTATCGATGTGGTCGATATCTTTTTTTAGCATCTCATGAAGTAAACTTGTGCTATTTTAAAGTAGAATTATACTAATTGCTGTCATCGAGATGAATTTTATTAGTTGATTGAATTTACTGAATTCTTGTTTGCACGAAGAACTTTATCATTTTTACTCCCTAGATTGTTTATTGCTTATTTTTAAAAATAATCCACTTTTTCGAATAATAAATTTCAAAATTTTATTATTGACTCCAAAAATGATCAGTTTTTAATTTGATCAGTAAACATTGTTTAAAATGATATATAAAAGAAGTCGTATTACTTTATTAATTGTAAAAGTTTGTAATGCAGATTCTTATCAATTACAGTTCAAAATACTAATTTTAAATAATAAATTTCAAATTATTATTATTAATAGCAAATATTGGTAGTATTTGGGTCAGTTATTAATTATTTCTTAAAATAATATTTTTTTTTTAAATTGATCACTTTATTAATTGGATAAATCTGTTCTCTAAGCTCTTATTAATTATTATTTAAGAAGCCAATTTTTAAGACACTATTTTTCAAAATTTCTCAGAATTATTATTTTGCAAATTATTATTTATTTTCTTTAATAATAGTTTCTAAAAAATAGTCTTCTTTAAACAATAATCCTCAAAATAATACTTTCAAAAATTTCATTATTAATTGCCAAGATATATATTGTAAATTTTCAAAATTATTGTTCTATAATCTACCAGTTAATTACTTCCCAAAATACTATTCCTTCTAAAAAATATTCTTCTTCAAACAATAATGTTCAAAACACTATTTTCCAAATTTTATTAGTAATGACCAAAATGTATATTTCAAATTCTCAAAATTATCATTCTACAACCTACCAATTAATTATTCCCTAGACAAATAATTTCCTGAATACTCTAATTCTCAAATAATATTCTATTTCAAACAATAATCCCCAAAATAGTATTTTCCAAACAAATAATTTCCAAAATACTATTCCGTTTCAAAATTGTGAAAATAATCTTTTACAAAATTCGATATACCAATTGCAAAATATTCTGCTGCAAATGTAACTAGGAAAATGTAAATAATATTCTCTTTCAAACAATAATCCCCAAAATAGTACTTTCCAAATTAATAATTTCCAAAATACTATTATTCCGAAAATACTGTTTTATAGTTGTGAAAATAATCTTTTACAAAATTCGTTATACCAGTTGCGAAAAATTCGCGCTGCAAATGTAACTAGGAAAATGTAATTCCCAAATAATAATCCCCAAAATAGTATTTCTCAAATTAATAATTTCCAAAATACTATTATTCCGAAAATAGTGTTTCATAATCGTGAAAATAATGTTCTACAAAATTCGATATACCAATTGCGAAAAATTCACGCTACAAATGTAACTAGGAAGTTCGCGTGGCAAAAATTCCCCGATCGAGATTTTCGTTCTCAAGTCGAATACTGGTCTTATTTCGACTTGGTTCGGTTGCGTGAGTCTATCTCGAAGTTAGGTCCGCGATTCTTCGCATGCTTCTAGTAGCCTGACGAGGCGGAAGTAACAATCGGCTGGAACTCCGTATTAATGCAGTCTCCGAGCGTCACAACGAAATCTATACCCAGTTAAATTGCAATTGCGTAATCATCTCAGGTGCCCGTGGTGCACTGGACAATTACCAAGGAAATCGTTGGTAAATAAATCCATTACGTCGTTTGACTTTTTGACATTTACACGAACGGGAAGAAAAATTTATTTATTTTTTTTTCTAGGGATTTTTTTTTTTTAGAACAGGGTTTTCTAGGGATTCTGTTTCTTTTTCTAATAAGGTCAGACTGGACGATAGGATCGGTGTTGTCGCGAGATTGTAGCTACGCGATGATCTTATAGGAGATTTCTTTCTATCGTTTAATACGATAATTTTGGGTATCATTTGTGTCTATTCAGCAGACTCTTGACAATTAGGTCCGCTTTACAAGATCGATGTGGATCATTGTGAAGTGATTTGGGAACTATCATGTTTACACGTGTTGAGAGAAGTGTGATTGTTTATTTATTTATTTATTTGTTTGTTTATTTGATATAGATTTTTGTTAATTATGTTTGTCGAATTTTTGGATATTTCGGATATTTTGGATATTGCATATTTTATATTTAATTTGTAAATATTTTTAGAAAATATTTGTTGTGTGTACAAGTTATGTTTCATTTTATTTTGGCTTCTTAGACTCGTTTTCACTGTTTATGTGAAGCATATTAAGTTTCCAAGCAGTTTGCGAGAGTCTTGTAATTGCTTTTGGTGTCTGTAAACAAGATTTAAAATTTCGGAATATTTTGCAGTAATTTTAAATTTTGTGCATACATTATATTCAAAATTTTTAGATATTCTGTAAAAATATTTCAGTTGATTCTAATATAAAATTTTCTAAAATTTTTTAATAATTTCAGTGTCCATTCATTGCATTTAAAATTTTCTTTTCATATCCATTTTCTTAAATTCTTCGTGCAGTTTTTAGTTGCTTTGCATAAATATTTTGCAAAAGTACCGAATATAAGATGCATCTAGAACCAAAAATGAAACTTCTGAATATTTTGTAGCAACTTTGCAACTATATTTTATTTCGTAATATCCATGAATTACATTCCAAATTTTTAGATATTTTGTAAAAGTATTTCAATTGCTTCCAATTTCAAATTTTCCAAAATTTTGCAATTATTTTAGTATCCATTTATTGCATTCGAAATTTTCAGAAATTTTGTAAAAGAATTTCCGTTTTTTCTCTTCGTATCCGTTTTTCTTTAATTCTTTATCCAGTTTTCAATTGCTTTGCATAAATATTTTGCAAAAGTTCCGAGTATAACGTGACTTCAGAACCAAAAATGGGATAAATTTTGCAGATTTAATTCACCTTCGTCAAAATATTCTTCTCCTGCCTATTAACGATATTTCAATATTTTGGTACTTGAATTGCAATTGTTATCTGTATTTACAATCGCTCAGCGTATGATATGTTACTAAGAAATCGCGCATGATATTCTCCTTATATCTAAATTATCACTGATAAGAACCATTGTGTCCGTTTATATAATCTGTCTATAAAATTACCTACAACGAAGGGAAAACTAAGAAATTACATAAATATTTCGAGAAGATAATGATCGATCAGGACTGTGATCATAATTAAAAATAAATAATAATTTTAAATACCGTGAAATGTGAGAAAACGAAAAATATCGGGACTCCAGGAGCGTAGCTTATTTTTCATCGCTATCGTTGTACCAACTGTTCCCCTCGTCGATTCTCTTATCGTAATTAGATAATTTAATTTTTCTACACTGTTTTCAACAAAAGGGCAGATTTACGTCGGGGAAACACATAAAATATTTTTCAAACAATTCGGTGCACCAAGTGAGCAAAATTAGAAATTAAGTTTTGTTCCTTCGACTCCTTGATCTTACTGAATAGAATTGAATTTCAATTTTGATTTTAATTGATAAAATTGAATTTCAATTTTTATTTTGCAGAATAGAATTGAATTTCAATTTTGGTTTTGCAGAATAGAATTGAATTTCAATTTTTATTTTGCAGAATAGAATTGAATTTCAATTTTGGTTTTGCAGAATAGAATTGAATTTCAATTTTTATTTTGCAGAATAGAATTGAATTTCAATTTTAATTTTAATTGATAAAATTGAATTTCAATTTTGGTTTTGCAGAATAGAATTGAATTTCAATTTTGATTTTAATTGATAAAATTGAATTTCAATTTTGGTTTTTCAGAATAGAATTGAATTTCAATTTTGATTCTACAGAATAGAATTGAATTTCAATTTTGATTCTACAGAATAGAATAAAATTTCAATTTTCCAAATAATTCGATACAGTGAGTGAACGAAATTAAAAATTAAAATCTCAATTTTAATCGTTAATTCGACTCTTTTATTTTACGCAATGGAATTGAATTTCAATTTTGATTTTACATAATATAATTGAATTTCAATAAAATAATTGAATTAGTATTTTATTTATTAAACCAATTTTTGTTACTGAATATTTTGACGTATTATGTTAGAATATTCGATTTTTAGTAATTTTAACGCAAAAATAAAGACATAAATAATATACGATATTTTATATTAATTAAAAATTAATGTTCATGTTATATACTATAATATTGTATAAATATATAAATAATCGCGATGAAAAATAAATATGTAATTATGTACATTATAATGTACGTATAATGCAATGTATAGTTAAATATAATACAATAAATATAGTATTTATTATTATAATGATATACAGAGTTTGGTTAGGTTAGGTATACAAGGTTAGGTTCCACATAACGTTAGACACGATTTCTCAAGTTCTTGCGATAATCTGACGAAAGAATGTTGTAAACAAAAGTTGATCAGTTTTCAGTTGGCAATATAGTGCAATAAAAAAATGTGTTTTTTGAAAATTTTCAAGGTCACCTTCATTTGTTTGAAAAGCACTTTATATTTCTGACTTATTATTATAATAGTTCGTATCTAGACGAATTCAACGACCTAGCATACCATAACCTTCGCATGATCTTGAAGGCAGAGAAATGAAAATTATGTAATAACAATTAAAACTGGATAAAAAATAGTGTAAACATGTGAAATATTAAATACAGTATATACAAGCTTAATAAAACTTAAAATAATACTTAATACCACAACAATATTTAAATTTTAATAATGTAGCAATTAGTATAATGAAGTAAATGAATTTTTATCTGTCTTCACAGAAAACAAAATTTTGCCATAAAGAATAATCCACAACAAAGTATCCACACCTGAAAAAACTGAAAAAACGAAAAATTCCATAACCTAGAAGATGTTTCAACTGCATTGATAAATCAGGTGTTAAATTAAAGAATAATCCAAAAAATGTTTTCCACCTCGGATTATTTTTACGCACAATATCAAAATTCACTGATTTATCACATATCGCAAAATTTTGATCATTTCCCAGCACGAGTTAAACGAACGAAATATTCTTGAAGTAGATAGTAGCTGCAAACATAGATTCGTGATAAAATTATGCAACGAGAACGAGTAATTTACACTAGACGTATTTCCGTCGAAACGGTAAAGAATTGGCAAGATGGAAGCAAATATGGCGGCTGCATGCTAAATCTCGTTAAACAATTAAACAGCTTATAACGATAGATAACGTCTTTATCGCTGTCGAATGAATCGAATGGGAAGGAGATGTGCTCCGAAGTTAACGTAATCGTCAGAATCGTGACCTTAGCCTTTTAATCCCCAGCGAGTGATCTACAGACTTCTCTCACAAGTTGATATCGCGAATAAATTAGCGAGTCGCTATCATTGCACCTTTATCGAGAAGATGTACAGTTATCGGTTACTGTCGTGAAATTCGATTTATAATATTACTGTTTACTAACTTTCCCTGTCTCTTTTTATTTTGGAGAGTGTGAAGAGAGTGATCCTCGTGATAACACTATTTGGGTATAAAGTGTAACAAAATATAGTGTATGTAGTGTTATGTAATTATGCAATACAGTTTAAAATTATATATCTCTTTCCTCTTATTTTGGAAAATGTGAATAGAATAATACTGGTGATAAGACTAATTTGGATATAATGTGTAACAAAATATAGTATATATAGTATCCTATAATTATGTAACACAGTTAAAAATTATTATTGTGACTCTGTTGTATTATATATCTCTTTCCTTTTATTTTGGAAAATGTGAATAGAGTAATCCTCGTGATAACAATATTTGGGTATAATGTGTTACTAAATATAATATATATAGTGTCCTATGATTATGTAACACAGTTAAAAATTATTATTGTGACTATGTTGTATTATATATCTCTTTCTTTTTATTTTGGAAAATGTGAAGAGAGTGATTCTAGTGATAACACTATTTGGGTATAATTAAACTAAATAACTGTAACTGAATATAGTATATATAGTGTCCTATAATTATGTAACACAGTTAAAAATTATTATTGTCTGTGTTGTATTATGTAATATATATTATAGATTATTATTGCAACTGTATTATATTGTACATTGCATGTTATAAGTTATTGTTATGTCATAGTGACGTGATGAAAGTAAATGAGTGTATATTAATACAGAAGGTTATGTAGAGATAAATAATATTCATTTTTAATAGTCATTTTTAACTTTGTCGAAAGTAATTTTATGTTTTCAGTAGAAATGAAAATTCTGAGGTCACACATTTTTATTAGTTTGATATTATTTAGTTATTAATTATAAATAATGTAAATAAATGATTGGTTATTTGATAGGAGATTTATGTTTGTGGAAAGATACATAGGGATATGAATCGTAATAAGATTTGTGATGGTATGGGTTAGCATTGACTTGGATTGGATTGTATAGTTATTTACAGTAATTCGTTTGATATCATTGAATATTGGCGTTAAGTGTATTTTAATTTTTTTTGAAGTTGAAATATTTTGTAGAAGAGAATTGGGGACGGATATTTTCGTGGTTTGGTGTAGAAGAAAGGACTTTAAAGATTGTAAGAGGGGTGGAATTAGAACTAGAAATGTGCTTCCATATTTTCACTAGAATGTTGTATTTTCATTATTATATGATTACTAGAATATTGTATTTCTACTGTTACTAATACATTCACTGTTATATTATATTTCCATTACTAGTCGTCTTTCTACTGGAATATTACATTTTTAGTATTCCCTATATTTTCACTAGAATATTATCTACATTATATTTTCATTATTATATTTTTACTAGAATATTATATCTCCACCATTTAGTAAATTTTCACTAGAATATTATATCTCTACTATTCCCTATATTTTCAATAGGATATTATATCTCTACTATTCCCTATATTTCTACTAGAATATTCTGTCTCCACTATTCCCTAAATTTTTACTAGAATATTTTGTCTCCACTATTCCCCAAATTTTCACTAAAATATTATATCTCTACTATTTCCGAAACTTTCACTAGAATATTATATCTCCACTATTCCCTATATTTTCACTAGAATATTATACCTTTATTTACTACTATCTATATTGTCACTAGAATATTACATTGTTATTATCTCTATATTTCCACTAGATTAATATATCAACACTATCACCTGTATTTCACTAAACTATTAATCAAAAACACTCACATAACATCGGTGAGAAATATAAGGTAGTTCCAAATTCATTTGGAACATAATCATAAAATTAAAAAAAAAAAAAAAAAATACATAAATCGTTCGATTTATCGAACTTTTGGAAAATAAAATACACGAATGTTACAGCGTAGTCGGAGGGATGAGCAAAGGTTGTGGATTCTGCGGGATTTATCCCCGATGGCTACGAGATCGAGCCACCCGGAAAAATTTTATCGCGGTGTACGGCCTTCTTGGTACTGTGCAGGCAATGGCCTTTATTTACATCGTTGTCACCCTCACGACCTTGGAAAAGAGGTTCAAAATACCTAGTCGTACAACTGGTAAGAACTTCCTGATGTCACTCATCTGCCTCTTCGCTTCATTCAGCACGCTTGGAAATTTGTAATTCAAATTTCATATTACTCTCTCTATCAATCACTATGCTAATTATTGCTTTTACTATAATACAGTTCTACTTATCTGAACATATTAATACATAAATTTTTGTCAATTCTAGAATAAAACTTATTATCTCAAATAATTTCATTGTTCTCGCAATATATCAATTATTCTCATTTGATTTAAATCCATTGAATTATCTTGAAATAAATTCAGATTCTTTCCTTTTGATTTATTATCATTTCTTCCTTTCAATTTTAGATTAATGTCCTTGCATGAAAAATTTTTCACTGCAAATGATTCATGGATATCGTATTGTCGATTAAATAATTTAATTTTTATTAATTTAAGTAATACCAATAAAATGGCAGTTATAAGACAATATAGGGATATTAGAAAATAGCAATTTTTCTAATATTACCAAAAATGACATAAAAGTGGTTTATTCGTGCAATAAGAGTAAGATAATAAGTAAATACGTTTTTATGTGTAACATAAGAATACTAGAAAGTAGCCATTTTGTTTGTATTATTAAAAATGACACAAAAGTAGCAGATTCGTGTAACAGCAATAAAATAGTAACTATTCATGTTCATATATAACCTAAAAATATTAGGAAATAGCTATTTTGTTAATATTATTAAAAATAGCAAACAAATAACACATTCGTGTGACTGTAATAAAATGGTAACTATACATCCTTGTACATAACCTAAGAATATTAGGAAATAGCTATTTTGTTATTATTATTAAAAATAGCACAAAAATGACACATTCGTGTGACAGTAATAAAATGGTAACTATACATCCTTGTACATAACCTAAGAATATTAGGAAATAACCATTTTGTTGGCATTAGCAAAAATGGCACAATAATGGCTCATTCACGTGGCAACAATAAGATGATGGTCATGTGTTTATGTATAAGGATATTAAAAAATAGCCATTTCATCGGTGTCAGTAAACATGACACAGAAACGCCTGATTCATGCATCAATGATTAGACGGATGCATAACGTGGAAAACTCTCGAACGGCTCGAGTATTTCGCGGTTCTTATTTTCACCAGTGATTTCTCTTGTTACTGATACCGAGTAGCCAAGTGTTACGAGTCCGCTCGTGTTAAAGTACTTGGACTTACATTTGCACACGTACACACGTGTGGCCCCGACCAAAGATAAATCGCGTGTCAGTGTGCGTTCGTCTAGTAGGTAAGTAGAGTGTCGTAATCATTGAAGTGAGAAATCTGTCGTTAGAGCAACGAGCACTGGACACGCACTACGAAGACACACGAATTTATGTTTCAAAACATAGTGTCACGTTCGAGAACATGTCGTATGTTTCTCCT